ATCTGAGCGCTTCCGTTCTCCCTGGCATTTCCACTCTAAGTTCCCATACTGACCGACCTGGCCAATGCACCATTTTCCCTATACATGTGCGTTAGATACCTTTCAAACCTTATTAGCTCACTAGATTTATATATTTCCCACCTTCTGATCGAGTGAGACCGCTAGATTCCCTTTACTTTTTGAGAAATAAGCGTTTCCGTTCTCCCTGGCCCCACTTGCACTATAAGTGCGAAATGCCGGCCAGACTGGCCGATGCACCATTTTCTCTACACATGTGCGTTAGTTACTTTTCAAACCCTTACGTTCACTAGATTAATATATTTCCTACCTTCCATTTGAGTGAGACCTCTAGATTCCGTGTACTATGCGAGATCTGAGCGCTTCCGTTCTCCCTGGCATTTCCACTCTAAGTTCCCATACTGACCGACCTGGCCAATGCACCATTTTCCCTATACATGTGCGTTAGATACCTTTCAAACCTTATTAGCTCACTAGATTTATATATTTCCCAACTTCTGATCGAGTGAGACCGCTAGATTCCCTTTACTTTTTTGAGAAGTGAGCGTTTCCGTTCTCCCTGGCCCCACTTGCACTATAAGTGCGAAATGCCGGCCAGACTGGCCGATGCACCATTTTCTCTACACATGTGCGTTAGTTACCTTTCAAACCCTTACGTTCACTAGATTAATATATTTCCTACCTTCTGTTTGAGTGAGACCTCTAGATTCCATGTACTTTGCGAGATCTGAGCACTTTCGTTCTCCCTGGCATCTGCACTCTAAGTTCCCATACTGACTGACCTGGCCAATGCACCATTTTTCCTATACATGTGCGTTAGATACCTTTAGAACCTTGTTAGCTCACTAGATTAATATATTTCCAACCTTCTGATCGAGTGAGACCGCTAGATTCCCTTTACTTTTTGAGAAATGAGCGTTTCCGTTCTCCCTGGCCCCACTTGCACTATAAGTGCGAAATGCCGGCCAGACTGGCCGATGCACCATTTTCTCTACACATGTGCATTAGTTACCTTTCAAACCCTTACGTTCACTAGATTGATATATTTCCTACCTTCTATTTGAGTGAGACCACTAGATTCCATGTACTATGCGAGATCTGAGCGCTTCCGTTCTCCCTGGCATTTCCACTCTAAGTTCCCATACTGACCGACCTGGCCAATGCACCATTTTCCCTATACATGTGCGTTACATACCTTTCAAACCTTATTAGCTCACTAGATTTATATATTTCCCACCTTCTGATCAAGTGAGACCGCTAGATTCCCTTTACTTTTTTGAGAAGTGAGCGTTTCCGTTCTCCCTGGCCCCACTTGCACTATAAGTGCGAAATGCCGGCCAGACTGGCCGATGCACCATTTTCTCTACACATGTGCGTTAGTTACCTTTCAAACCCTTACGTTCACTGGATTAATATATTTCCTACCTTCTATTTGAGTGAGACCACTAGATTCCGTGTACTTTGCGAGATCTGAGCGCTTCCGTTCTCCCTGGCATTTGCACTCTACGTTCCCATACTGACCGACCTGGCCAATGCACCATTTTCCCTATACATGTACGTTAGATACCTTTCGAACCTTATTAGCTCAATAGATTTATATATTTCCCACCTTTTGATCGAGTGAGACCGCTAGATTGCCTTTACTTTTTGAGAAATGAGCGTTTCCGTTCTCCCTGGCCCCACTTGCACTATAAGTGCGAAATGCCGGCCAGACTGGCCGATGCACCATTTTCTCTACACATGTGCGTTAGTTACCTTTCAAACCCTTACGTTCACTAGATTAATATATTTCCTACCTTCTATTTGAGTGAGACCACTAGATTCCGTGTACTATGCGAGATCTGAGCGCTTCCGTTCTCCCTGGCATTTCCACTCTAAGTTCCCAAACTGACCGACCTGGCCAATGCACCATTTTCAATATACATGTGCGTTAGATACCTTTCGAACCTTATTAGCTCACTAGATTTATATATTTCCCACCTTCTGATCGAGTGAGACCGCTAGATTCCCTTTAATTTTTGAGAAATAAGCGTTTCCGTTCTCCCTGGCCCCACTTGCACTATAAGTGCGAAATGCCGGCCAGACTGGCCGATGAACCATTTTCTCTACACATGTGCGTTAGTTACTTTTCAAACCCTTACGTTCACTAGATTAATATATTTCCTACCTTCCATTTGAGTGAGACCTCTAGATTCCATGTACTTTGCGAGATCTGAGCACTTTCGTTCTCCCTGGCATCTGCACTCTAAGTTCCCATACTGACCGACCTGGCCAATGCACCATTTTTCCTATACATGTGCGTTAGATACCTTTCGAACCTTGTTAGCTCACTAGATTTATATATTTCCAACCTTCTGATCGAGTGAGACCGCTAGATTCCCTTTACTTTTTGAGAAATGAGCGTTTCCGTTCTCCCTGGCCCCACTTGCACTATAAGTGCGAAATGCTGGCCAGACTGGCCGATGCACCATTTTCTCTACACATGTGCATTAGTTACCTTTCAAACCCTTACGTTCACTAGATTAATATATTTCCTACCTTCTATTTGAGTGAGACCACTAGATTCCGTGTACTATGCGAGATCTGAGCGCTTCCGTTCTCCCTGGCATTTCCACTCTAAGTTCCCATACTGACCGACCTGGCCAATGCACCATTTTCCCTATACATGTGCGTTACATACCTTTCAAACCTTATTAGCTCACTAGATTTATATATTTCCCACCTTCTGATTGAGTGAGACCGCTAGATTCCCTTTACTTTTTTGAGAAGTGAGCGCTTCCGTTCTCCCTGGCCCCACTTGCACTATAAGTGCGAAATGCCGGCCAGACTGGCCGATGCACCATTTTCTCTACACATGTGCGTTAGTTACCTTTCAAACCCTTACGTTCACTAGATTAATATATTTCCTACCTTCTATTTGAGTGAGACCACTAGATTCCGTGTACTTTGCGAGATCTGAGCGCTTCCGTTCTCCCTGGCATTTGCACTCTACGTTCCCATACTAACCGACCTGGCCAATGCACCATTTTCCCTATACATGTACGTTAGATACCTTTCGAACCTTATTAGCTCAATAGATTTATATATTTCCCACCTTCTGATCGAGTGAGACCGCTAGATTGCCTTTACTTTTTTAGAAATGAGCGTTTCCGTTCTCCCTGGCCCCACTTGCACTATAAGTGCGAAATGCCGGCCAGACTGGCCGATGCACCATTTTCTCTACACATGTGCGTTAGTTACCTTTCAAACCCTTACGTTCACTAGATTAATATATTTCCTACCTTCTATTTGAGTGAGACCACTAGATTCCGTGTACTATGCGAGATCTGAGCGCTTCTGTTCTCCGTGGCATTTCCACTCTAAGTTCCCATACTGACCGACCTGGCCAATGCACCATTTTCCCTATACATGTGCGTTAGATACCTTTCGAACCTTGTTAGCTCACTAGATTTATATATTTCCAACCTTCTGATCGATTGAGACCGCTAGATTCCCTTTACTTTTTGAGCGTTTCCGTTCTCCCTGGCCCCACTTGCACTATAAGTGCGAAATGCCGGCCAGACTGGCCGATGCACCATTTTCTCTACACATGTGCGTTAGTTTCTTTTCAAACCCTTACGTTCACTAGATTAATGTATTTCCTACCTTCTATTTGAGTGAGACCTCTAGATTCCGTGTACTTTGCGAGATCTGAGCGCTTTCGTTCTCCCTGGCATCTGCACTCTAAGTTCCCATACTAACCGACCTGGCCAATGCACCATTTTCCCTATACATGTGCGTTAGATACCTTTCGAACCTTGTTAGCTCACTAGATTTATATATTTCCAACCTTCTGATCGAGTGAGACCGCTAGATTCCCTTTACTTTTTGAGAAATGAGCGTTTCCGTTCTACTTGGCCCCTCTTGCACTATAAGTGCGAAATGCCGGCCAGACTGGCCGATGCACCATTTTCTCTACACATGTGCGATAGTTACCTTTCAAACCCTTACGTTTACTAGATTAATATATTTCCTACCTTCTATTTGAGTGAGACCACTAGATTCCGTGTACTTTGCGAGATCTGAGCGCTTCCGTTCTCCCTGGCATTTGCACTCTAAGTTCCCATACTGACCGACCTGGCCAATGCACCATTTTCCCTATACATGTGCGTTAGATACCTTTCAAACCTTATTAGCTCACTAGATTTATATATTACCCACCTTCTGATCGAGTGAGACCGCTAGATTCCCTTTACTTTTTGAGCGTTTCCGTTCTCCCTGGCCCCACTTGCACTATAAGTGCGAAATGCCGGCCAGACTGGCCGATGCACCATTTTCTCTACACATGTGCATTAGTTACCTTTCAAACCCTTACGTTCACTAGATTAATATATTTCCTACCTTCTATTTGAGTGAGACCACTAGATTCCGTGTACTATGCGAGATCTGAGCGCTTCCGTTCTCCCTGGCATTTGCACTCTAAGTTCCCATACTGACCGACCTGGCCAATGCACCATTTTCCCTATACATGTGCGTTACATACCTTTCAAACCTTATTAGCTCACTAGATTTATATATTTCCAACCTTCTGATCGAGTGAGACCGCTAGATTCCCTTTACTTTTTTGAGAAATGATCGTTTCCGTTCTCCCGGGCCCCACTTGCACTATAAGTGCGAAATGCCGGCCAGACTGGCCGATGCACCATTTACTCTACACATGTGCATTAGTTACCTTTCAAACCCTTACGTTCACTAGATTAATATATTTCCTACCTTCTATTTGAGTGAGACCACTAGATTCCGTGTACTATGCGAGATCTGAGCGCTTCCGTTCTCCCTGGCATTTGCACTCTAAGTTCCCATACTGACCGACCTGGCCAATGCACCATTTTCCCTATACATGTGCGTTAGATACCTTTCGAACCTTATTAGCTCACTAGATTTATATATTTCCAACCTTCTGATCGAGTGAGACCGCTAGATTCCCTTTACTTTTTTGAGAAATGATCGTTTCCGTTCTCCCGGGCCCCACTTGCACTATAAGTGCGAAATGCCGGCCAGACTTGCCGATGCACCATTTTCTCTACACATGTGCGATAGTTACCTTTCAAACCCTTACGTTCACTAGATTAATATATTTCCTACCTTCTATTTGAGTGAGACCACTAGATTCCGTGTACTTTGCGAGATCTGAGCGCTTCCGTTCTCCCTGGCATTTGCACTCTAAGTTCCCATACTGACCGACCTGGCCAATGCACCATTTTCCCTATACATGTGCGTTAGATACCTTTCGGACCTTATTAGCTCACTAGATTTATATATTTCCCACCTTCTGATCGAGTGAGACCGCTAGATTCCCTTTACTTTTTGAGAAATGAGCGTTTCCGTTCTCCCTGGCCCCACTTGCACTATAAGTGCGAAATGCTGGCCAGACTGGCCGATGCACCATTTTCTCTACACATGTGCGGTAGTTACCTTTCAAACCCTTACGTTCACTAGATTAATATATTTCCTACCTTCTATCTCCCCGCCCCATTCTCCCGCTTTCCATCACTCCGCCTCATTCTCCCTCTTTCCATCGCCCCGCCCCATTCTCCCTCTTTCCATCGCCCCGTCCCATTCTCCCGCTTTCCATCTCCCCGCCCCATTCTCCCGCTTTCCATCACCCCGCCCCATTCTCCCGCTTTCCATCACCCCGCCCCATTCTCCCGATTTCAATCACCCCGCCCCATTCTCCCGCTTTCCAGCAGCCCGCCCCATTCTCGCGCTTTCCATCACCCCGCCCCATTCTTCCGCTTTCCATCACCCCGCCCCATTCTCCCGCTTTCCATCACCCCGCCCCATTCTCCCGCTTTCCATCACCCACCCCCATTCTCCCGCTTTCCATCACCCCGCATCATTCTCCCTCTTTCCATCGCCCCGCCCCATTCTCCCTCTTTCCATCGCCCCGCCCCATTCTCCCGCTTTCCGTCTCCCCGCCCCATTCTCCCGCTTTCCATCACCCCGCCCCATTCTCCCGCTTTCCATCACCCCGCCCCATTCTCCCGCTTTCAATCACCCCGCCCCATTCTCCTGCTTTCCAGCAGCCCGCCCCATTCTCCCGCCTTCCATCACCCCGCCCCATTCTCCCGCTTTCCATCACCCCGCCCCATTCTCCCGCTTTCCATCACCCCGCCACATTCTCCCGCTTTCCATCACCCCGCCCCATTCTCCCGCTTTCCATCACCCCGCCTCATTCTCCCTCTTTCCATCGCCCCGCCCCATTCTCCCTCTTTCCATCGCCCCGCCCCATTCTCCCGCTTTCCATCTCCCCGCCCCATTCTCCCGCTTTCCATCACCCCGCCCCATTCTCCCGCTTTCCATCACCCCGCCCCATTCTCCCGCTTTCAATCACCCCGCCCCATTCTCCCGCTTTCCATCACCCGGCCCATTCTCCCGCTTTCCATCACCCCGCCCCATTCTCCCTCTTTCCATCACCCCGCCCCATTCTCCCTCTTTCCATCACCCCGCTCCATTCTCCCTCTTTCCATAACCCCGCCCCATTCTCCCTCTTTCCATCACCCCGCCCCATTCTCCCTCTTTCCATCACCCCGCCCCATTCTCCCTCTTTCCATCAACCCGCCCCATTCTCCCGCTTTCCATCACCCCGCCCCATTCTCCCTCTTTCCATCACCCGCCCCATTCTCTCTCTTTCCATCACCCTGCCCTATTCTCCCTCTTTCCATCACCCCGCCCCATTCTCCCGCTTTCCATCACCCTGCCCCATTCTCCCGCTTCCCATCACCCCGCCTCATTCTCCCGCTTTCCATCACCCCACCCCATTCTCCCGCTTTCCAGCACCCCGCCCCATTCTCCCGCTTTCCATCACCCCGCCCCATTCTCTCGCTTTCCATCACCCCGCCCCATTCTCCCTCTTTCCATCACCCCGCCCCATTCTCCTGCTTTCCATCACCCGCCCCATTCTCCCGCTTTCCATCACCCCGCCCCATTCTCCCGCTTTCCATCACCCCGCCTCATTCTCCCGCTTTCCATCACCCCGCCACATTCTCCCGCTTTCCATCACCCCGCCCCATTCTCCCTCTTTCCATCACCCCGCCCCATTCTCCCTCTTTCCATCGCCCCGCCCCATTCTCCCGCTGTCCATCTCCCCGCCCCATTCTCCCGCTTTCCATCACCCCGCCCCATTCTCCCTCTTTCCATCACCCCGCCCCATTCTCCCGCTTTCCATCACCCCGCGTTTTGGGGGTATGGGCGCTCGTTTCGAGCGTTTTTCTTCCGCCGGGTCACGTGCTGCACTTGTTTGAGCCTATCACCAAGCCAGTAATGGCGTGGGAGGGTTGCGATCATCATCGGTCATCGGCGCTCGCGAATGAAGAGCGTCAGCTGCACTTCCTGCACATGTGCGGATCCTTCCGCGTTTTGGGACTGGAACCGCATGTTCCGAGCGTTTTTCTTTCGCCGGGTCACATGTCTGCGCTTGTCTGGGCCTATTACCAAGCCAGCAAGGGCATGGGAGGGTTGCGAGCATCATCGGTCATCGGTGCTCGCGAATGAAGAGCGCCCGGTGCCCTTCCTGCACGTGTGCGGATCCTTCCGCGTTTTGGGGATGGAACCGCTCGTTCTGAGCGTTTTTCTTCCGCCGGGTCACTTGGCTGCGCTTGTCCGGGCCTATTACCAAGCCAGCAAGGGCGTGGAGGGTTGCGATCATCATCGGTCATCGGCGCTCGCGAATGAAGAGCGCCCGCTGCACTTCCTGCACGTGTACGGATCCTTCTGCGTTTTGGGGTTGGAAATGCTCGTTCCGAGCGTTTTTCTTCCGCCGGGTCACGTGGCTGCGCTTGTCTGGGCCTATTACCAAGCCAGCAAGGGTGTGGGAGGGTTGCGAGCATCATGGATCATCGGCGCTCGTGAATGAAGAGCGCCCGCTGCACTTCCTGCACGTGTGCGGATCCTTCCGCGTTTTGGGGCAAGAAGCGCTCGTTCCGAGCGTTTTCTTCCGCCGGGTCACGTGGCTGCACTTGCCTGGGCCTATTACCAAGCCAGCATGGGCGTGGGAGGGTTGCAAGCATCATCTGTAATCGGCGTTCGCGAATGAAGAGCGCCCGCTGCACTGCCTCCACGTGTGCGGATCCTTTCGCATTTTGGGGGTATGTGCACTCGTTCCGAGCGTTTTTCTTCCGCCGGGTCACGTGCTGCGCTTGTCTGGGCCTATCACCAAGCCAGCAATGGCGTGGGAGGGTTGCGATCATCATCGGTCATCGGCGCTCGCGAATGAAGAGCGCCGGCTCCATTTCCTGCACATGTGCGGAACCTTCCGTGTTTTGGGGCTGGAAGCGCTCGTTCCAAGCGTTTTTTTTTTTTCTGCCGGGTCATGTGGCTGCGCTTTTTCTCGACATTCCTTACTGCGACCATCAACATCGCGTACAGCAGCAGCCGTTGTTCGCCCGTTACTGCTAACGGGGCTTCGCCAACTTCGCGCGCACTGGTTTACCAAACCATGCACCGCTGGCCTGGCCGAGTCGGCTTACGCTTCGGGACTAGCCCGAACCTCGATGCCAGCCTAGCACTAGCTAGTAACCGTTGCATGTTTTCATACTTTGTCCTTCTGACCCACATAGTGGAATCCTCGCTACCTCGTTCCATTGCACCCGAAACATACGAGAAAGTTTCTTACAACATGTAAGGCGAACAAATTTAGCGAATTGCTCTGATCCTCAAACCATGTCGAACAAACATTCTAAATTCCAAATCCAAAGGCCCGATGGAGAAAACTCTGTTGACACAGGAATCTTGGAGCGCGGCGGCCGAGATCTAGAGCTTCCGATAGATTTTACACTATTCTCATTGACTTTCGCCGCCTTTGGACAATTTTAACCACGTGTCATGTCCGACCCTCCCAAATCGAAGCGCGTTCACTTCAGCTCTGGTAATAATCCAACCCTTTCCTAACTCACTCATCCCTCTCTAACCCGCCATCCTTCCCTCTTGCGCCCGTCGCGTCTCGTCTTCCAGTCGCGTCGCAGGGTTTCTCCCTTAAAGCCATTCTACCACGCGTGTTATTCTTTGCCTAGGCTGTCTTGTAGTCACCCAGCGGAGTCCATTCCGTGCCGGGTGAGCGAAGCTGGGTCCGCGCCCCGTTGCCAGCCGTGCTGTATTCCCTGCTTTTCCGCTACAGCTGGCGTAAGCCAGCGGCGACGCGATGACGTGGCGATCTAGTACGAGGCGGGATTAGAGACGTCGACGTGCGCGTAGGCGACGACCTGATAGTTACTAGTCCACCGAGCCCCATCCAGTTGGTGTTTGGGAGTTCAAAACAACCCACTTATCCCCCAGTCCCTCCCCTCACACTCCATCGCCTCCCTCTCCCGCTGCTCCTCTGCGCTCCGCTGCACCTGTCTCCCCGCTCCCCCTCCCCCTTCCCCCCCCCCCCCCACACGCGACTTCCTCTCCGCCTCTTCCCCCCAGACGACGGAGATGGCGCGGGGTCTTCCGCGCGCCACCAGCCAGCGCAGGAGCCGCGCAGAGTGGGATGCGGGAAGGGGATAAACTGGCGGGACGGGGACTCGGACGACGAGCGGGAGCGGGAGGCGCAGGCGATGCGCGAGGGGAAGAAGCGGCGGCACGGAGAAGCGCAGGGAGCGGGCGGAGAGAAGGAGGAGGATGAGGAGGAGGGGAAGGAGCCATTGGGCGAGTATGAGAGCTACGCGCAAGACTGCATCACCATTCTGCTGGGTAGGACTGACTGACTGCCGTTTAAGCCAAACCCGTTGTTACCTGCGACATTCCCTTTTCCCCTTCCCCCTGGTATGCCGTTCTGGAACGTCTTTGAACTTTTTCTTTTCCCTCAGCTTGTGTCCAACCAACCCGTATGAGTCGTCAGCGGGTTACTTACCCTCAGCTCAAGCTCACGGCTTTCCTCTTCGCATTCCCCCTCCTTGCTCCTCGTTTTCCCCCTCCTGGTTGGAAGTGCAGTGCGGGGAGTGGAGGATGTGGAGAGGGAGGAGCGTGGCGAGGGCAGTGTGAAGTGCTGCCCTGAGTACGTGCACCAGATGTTCGGGGACGATGGCATCGTGTACGGTTACAAGGACCTGCAGGTGCGTGCTGTACGGTTACAAGGACCTGCAGGTGGGTGCTGTACGGTTACAAGGACCTGCAGGTGCGTGCTGTACAGTTACAAGGACCTGCAGGTGGGTGCTGTACGGTTACAAGGACCTGCAGGTGCGTGTGGGAACTGCGAATCATGTAAGAGGGAGTATGACCGTGCTATTCTGGGGTGGGATGGAACGTTCGTGGTTGGGCATGTGTTGTGTGTGCATGTGGTATGTATGTGTGCATGTGGTATGTATGTGTGCATGTGGTATGTATGTGTGCATGTGGTATGTATGTGTGCATGTGGTGTGTATGTGTGCATGTGGTGTGTATGTGTGCATGTGGTGTGTATGTGTGCATGTGGTGTGTATGTGTGCATGTGGTGCGTTACTGTGCCTGGGTTGGGATGGCTTAGGTGACTTGCATCAGATTCAACGTCCTATTGATGTGCGTCCTGTCATCACTCCCGTGTTATGCCATGCCGTGCCATGCCATGCCATGTTGTGCCATGCCATGCCATGTTGTGCCATGCCATGCCGTGCCATGCCGTGCCATGCCATGCCATGCCATGCCATGCCATGCCCATGCCATGCCATGCCCATGCCATGCCATGCCCATGCCATGCCACATGGCTCTCACAGTGTATCGAACCACCCCACCCCTCCTGCCCTGACATCATGCGACACCAGGTGGACATATGGATGCATGCATGCACCTTCCTCACCTTCATCGACATCTCCTACTCGCATGAATTGCCCAAGGCACGCCCACCCACCTACCATCTGCACCTCCTATTCGCTCCTTGCGTTCCGCTTTCTGCCTCCCGTCACTGTCTCCTGCTCGTCCCTTGCCTCGCTGCCTCCTTGTTCTTTCCTCGTTTCGTAAGCCCTTTGCTTGCGCTCCCTCATGCTCTGTCTTCCCACCGATTCGCCTTGCTGCATCCTGTTACTGTCCCTTGTCCGTGTGTGTGTGTGTGTGTGTGTGTGTGTGTGTGTGTGTGTGTGTGTATGCACGACGTTTGTGGGGGGAAGTGTGTGCGTGTGTGTGCATGTGCGGCCATGGGAAGCAGACGAAGAAGAAGGCGAAGAAGCAGGCAAGCGATCACAGGGAGCCTCATGACATCCATGCCATTTTCAAGGCACGCCACCTCTGCCCTCTCTTCCTCCCTCCCTCCCTCCCTCCCTCCCTCCCTCCCTCCCTCCCTCCCTCCCTCCCTCCCTCCCTCCCTCCCTCCCTCCCTCCCTCCCTCCTCTCTTCCTCTTGGCGTGAGCCTTCAACTTTCAACAGCCCCTGAGATCGCATCGGGCATGCTCCTGAGGCCGTAGAGTGACCCCATTTTGCACTCAAGCATCATTGACGCTTTTCACCAATCGTTTGGCTCGCGCTTTTTTCTTCCTTTTTCGTTTTAGGTTGGAAGTCCACTATAACAAGGGCTCGCGTGTATTGTGTACTTGTGTTGTCACGGTGTCGTGTCTCCCATTGGCTACCGCGGGGCCTTTTCTGGCCTGGTCTGGCCTGGTCTGGCCTGGTCTGGCATGGCCCTCTCATCTCGGTTGCTTGCTTGTTATGATTCCAGGTGTTGGTTGGTTGATAAGCATAACCCCCCACACCACACTACCCGACACCGCACCACACTGCATTGCACCACTCCACACCACCTGCGTGCAGTCGCTCTTCCCCCAGGGCTTCATGACGTCAAGGGAGGAGTTCGTTACAGCCCTTCCTCTCCAACCCCAGCTCTTTCAGTGAGCTCCCTCCCTCCCTCCCTCCCTCCCCCTTCCACCCTTGTGTGCTTCCCTCGCTTTCACGCCCCCCATCTTGCCAGTTCATCTTTTCCTTCCTCGTTCGGTCAGCCCCACCACCACCTTGCATCTTGAGCCAGCTTTCAAGCCCACTAGAATGTAGTCTCATGGATGAGATGACACCCCACCACCCCCATTCCATCGCAGGGACATGGTGTCAAAGCACGCAACAGTGGAGCAGCCATGGCAGCAGGTGAAGCAGAAAGGCAGCGGGGGAGAGAGCACAGAAGATGGAAAGGAGGGAAGTAAAGGAGCGGCAAAAGCAGCAGATAATGGTGACAAAGGTGGTGGCGCTGCTGATGATACAAAAGCGGCTGCTGAGTGTGAGGTGAGTCCTATTGAGCTGAGTGTGAGGTGAGTCCTATGGAGCTCAATAGGCCTCAAAGTTACGCATAATGCTGCTGTTGGGTCTGTTGAATGTGAGTTCAGTTACTGCTGTATATGGTCGAGACACACGGCACGGGTCAGTCTGCGTATCGGGTTTATCTTTTATACAGTGCATGCATACAGAGTGTATTTCCATGCTTTGATAGGAGTTTTGTGCAAAGAGACGGAACACGGTCCGTGTGCGTAAAACGTGTGTACCCATGCTACCATCCCATCCCATCCCATGTCATCCCATCCCATCACACCCCACCCCCCATGCGTGCAGGTGGTAACCATGGACCTATCACAGCAGTGTGTGCGGGACTGGCATGCGCGCATGCAGCCTCTCGTCAAGTTCTTCATTGACAGTAACCGCTAACCACCTACCTGCCTGCCTGCTTGCCTCTCCTGCATCTTTCAATTTCTACTCTATAAATCCTCATCTTCTCATCCCAAGTTCGTCCACTAGAATTCCTCATGCCATTTAAATGCATCCCCTCCTCTGCGTGTTTATCTTCGTTCGACCCACCTCTGTTTGGACTTGCCTGCAAGATCCGTTCTTGGCCTATTCTGGCCCTCTTTGCATACCATACCAGGCATCACTCGTCTCTGTGTCCCTTCTCATCCTATTAGTGTTGCTGCGGTCACCTGTTCTCTTACTCTCGCCCTCGTTCCCCAGGCATCTCCCACCTTCACCAATCACCCCTCACGTCCCCCCCACGCCCACCCTGCTCGCCCCACCCTCCCCCCCCTTCTTCCCCCGCCCTCCCCACTTGCTCGCCTCGCCATGCCCACCAGACGGGCAGCCTATCGACAGCACGGACCCTCTCTGGACGCTCTCAGTCGTTCTGCAACAACCCGCTGCCCCTTTCTCTTCCCCTCCTCTCTCTGCCACTGCTGCTGCTGCATCTTCTCCCTCTGATGCAAAGGCGGGTGCAGCAGCATCAGTGAAGGGAGAGAGCGAGGTAGTGGTGGTGGGGTTCTGCACTATCTACTCCTTCTACCACCACCCCAACAGCTCGCGGCTTCGTCTCAGCCAGGTACTGCTGCTGGTGGTGTGGGCAGGGGAGGAAGTAGCATGTTTCTAGGGCTGTGGAGGAGTGGAGGGCCCAAGCATGGCTGTGCCTGCTTGTTTCCTCCTGATTTCCTAATCCTTCCTTTCCCCTACCCTCCTCCTCTCTCCCTTCCCCCACACAAACCTCTCCCCGTTTTGGCTTCCCCCCTCCTGCCTGCACACCACAACCGTGCATCCACCCCTCAGATCCTAGTGCTGCCACCATACCAGGCCATGGGGCACGGGTCGCGGCTGTTGAACCAGGTGCACGCCATGGCATGCCGAGTGCATGCATATGACATCACTGTGGAGGACCCATCTGACGATCTGCAGCAGCTAAGGGAGGCCCTTGACTGTGTGCGCCTGCTCGCCCTGCCTTCTGCTGCTGCTGCCGTGCAGTCGGCTGTTTCGCGAGTCACTGGGTTTGTTAGTGCTCGCTTGCCCACCACTGCCGCTCCTCCTGCTGCTGGTGATAGTGCTGGTGGTGCTGGCGGTGATGGTGGTGGTGGGGGTGAGGGAGAGGAGGAGAAGGAGTGCAAGGAAGGGGAGCAGGGCTCGGAGGAGAAGAAGCAAGAGGGGGGCAGAAAAAGCGATGCAGAGGCAGGAGGAACAAAGGGTGGGGACGGAGGAAACAGCGAGGATGGTGAGGAGGGCGGGGAGGAGGACGAGGAGGAGAGCAGCGAGGAGATAACAGCAATGGAGTCCCTGCTGGTGCTGCCCCACAGCATGGCAGAAGATGCAAGGGAGAAGCTGCACCTGAACAGGAAGCAGGTGGAGCGGTGCTGGGAGGTTCTCCTCTTCCTGCACCTGCCCTCCATGGGTAGCGCTGGCCGGCGCGCGTGGAAACGCCTGGTTACCAGCCGAGTCAAACTGGAAGAGCTGGGAGTGAAGGGCGCGCAGGGGCGGGGGCGGGACCGGGGAGTGAAGAGAGCGAGAGGGCAGGAGAACGGCGAGGGGGAGGGGAACGGGGAGGCGGGTGCAGGCGGTGGTGGTGGTGAGAGGCGGAGCAAGAAGAGGAGGAGCAGGAGGGGGTGGGAGAAGCGGGTTGTGGATCTGCCTGTGTTTGAGAACGACAAGCAGATGTTTGTCATGTACCAGGTCCCAGTGACTGATGCTGCACCAGAGGAGGGCAAGGAAGAGGGCAAGCGAAGGATAATCAGCGGAACAGGGGAAGGGAAAGGTGGTGAGAGTGAGCGTGAGAGAGTGAGTTCGGACCGGGTGGTTGTTGCTGGGGATGGAAACTCCAGGAGTGTGGAGGTTTTCCGGAGTGTGGAGGAGGATGAGGCGATAAAGAAGGCTCTTTTGGAGCTTGTTGCGGATAGGGAGGAACAGGTGGTGGCTGCAGCAGGTCTTGTGCAGAAATTTCAGAAGAGAGTGGGGGTAGCAGAAGGTGCAGCGATAGTTTCAGCAGGAGCAGGTGCTGCTGTGTGACTGTCAGCAACGGGTACAGTGAACTGCAAGGGTTTCTCGTGAGTTTATCTGAAACAGTGGAGAAGATGAGTAGAAAATGGGCAAATGGGTATTGTCGCGTTCGGGTGTGAAAGGACGGATTATGAATATGCGACATGAGCGCTTTCCACGAATGAGCTGCCTAATGTCCTGTTGCATACGGTATTTCTGGTTGAGTTCCGGATATGGTTTGCCGAAATGTTGAGTGAGGATACCGTTTCAACCAGCAGTGTTGAGAAAGAGTAGTTGTAATCTATGGACTCCTCGGATGTGTATTTACTGCCTTGTGACTGGAGCGAGTTCTGCGACATAACGAGACGCCAGCGAAAATCCTTGAAATTCCGACGGCGGAACAAAACTGTTACAGACCCCCAACACCAACCAACCAGCCCCATGCCCTGATGGATGCGACGTGGGCGAGTGTACGTGTGGTACACTGTTCTGGTGAGAAGGGAATTGAGTTTGGTTCGGGACTCCGGCTTGGAGTGTTGGTTGGGGTGATGGACACCGACAGTTCAACTTAGCGAGGGATGGCGAAAGCGGCTGATGCAAAATAGCGACGCGGAGAGGATCTGCTAAAGGGAGCGACGGAAAGCAGTCGATCTAACAAGGGTCGCCGGCGGCCAGTGTGGCAGACTGGGCGACACATGTGTGGTTGTTGACGTGTCGCAACAGCCTTCGTGACGACCTGTACGAAAGTACTTCGAAGCCCGTTAGCATTTCGACCTCGCAGATGGATTGGATGCGAACATCTAGGCGATGCGAAAGAGCTGTAGCCCAAGTCGTAAGATCCACATTTGAAACGAAAGAGCAGTTCCAACCTTGGCTCGAGGAAGATCAATCCGAGTTACAACTTAACAAGCTGCTGTGGAGATCTGGTCCAGCGTAACATTTCAGCAACACCTGCCGACAAGCTGTAATTTGGAGGTGGTCGTACAGGCATTGAGCGGCTCCGGAAAGCTACTGTGTAAACGCGAGTCGCGCAGTCGCTGCCTGCGTTTCGATTTGACCTTGCCTGGAGGACCACAATCAAGGCAATGGATTTCTTGCGCTGCCCCGCCCAGCTCACCTCGCATAAGTTCAACCCTCCTCAAATCCAGCCCTTTTCATTACGTCTCACCTCTACTCGGCACGCTCCAACTCCTCGTCACATCCCTCCCATCTCAACTCTCCCGACTCTTCTTGACTGCCACCACGTGAACCGCGCTGATATCCATTCGTGCGAAGGTTGGGTGCTCCAACCTTTTCGTACTCAGCGTTTTATTCAAGTTTCCAGTGAGCATGATACTAACAGTCGGGGACGTGAGCGAATACGTCATCCCACGAGTGGGTTAGCACTCAAGTAATGATTGTCCGGTACTAAGTCATGACATCTTTTTAGGAAACCGTGGGACCGCATGAAATGCGGATTTGCGTGGTATAAGTCATGCAGGAAGAGGTCGAAGCTCAACCGTGCGGTGAAGACGGCGACTCACCGCACACGTCATCGCGCCGTCAGCAATCCCCCAGCGCAAACTCCCCCTCCCTAGGAGATTCCGACGCAGAGCCTACCAACGCAACCGATGCAACCAATGCTAGTAACCCACACCATCAACTACCGCCCATCCCTTCTCGCGAGCCGCCTGATCCCACCGAACCATCACAATCCGCTGCGGCGGAAGGAACAACGTCTGAGATTACCGACACTACGATTGGGGGTGCTAGACCCACCGCGTACCGCGGAGTGCGGCAGCGGCGCTGGGGTAGATGGGTGACGGAAATACGGGAGCCGGTACGGGGCCAACGCATATGGCTCGGATCGTACGACACTGCAGAGGAGGCCGCACGCGTGTACGACATGGCCGCGCGACTTTTGCGCGGGCGGTCTGCCCGGCTGAATTTCCCCGGGCAGCAGGTGCTGCCCGTGGCCTTGCCGAGAGGCACGGCCGAGATTCTGCTCGAGGCGAGCCGCGAGGCGGCTCGTAGGACACAGCGGAGACAGCAGCAGCGGCAGCAGCAGAGGCGACAACAGCAGCTGCAGCAGCAGACTTCGCGGCGGACTCACTCGCCGCCGCTGCCGCCGCCAGTGCCTCCACAGCAGCAGCAGCAGCAGCAGGCGCAGGCGCACCAAATGCAGCCAGGACCTAGCTTGGCATCAGCGGCTGCAGATGCAGCAAGCGGAGGCCCTGACTCGCAGCACACGCAAATGCTACCATCACCACCTGGCATGATGCTGCCTCAGACACGTGGCGCGGAGGGACAAATAGCGGCGGGACGGAGTGGATTACTTGGGGTAACAGCGACAGCGTCGGGTTCAGAACCTACTATCGGCCTGTCGTCGCAAATACAGGCATTAACACGCGTTTCTGCGACACCCGGTAACGCTGGGGATCCGCCGCCCGGTGGACTCTTGACCAGTACTTCCACCGCCAATTTTCCTCCTCTGCCGTATGGCTCTCCGCGGCAGCAAGCATTCCAGGGCGGAAGCCCTGCGCCGCAGCCTGCGGATAGCGTTTTAGTTCCTAGAAGCAGCACGAGGACCAGCACTGCTGGTTCCGCTAGTGGCGCCGTGGACATGCACAGCCTCGCTGTGGCTGCTGCAGCCGCTGCCGTCATTCTAAGGCAGGCCGCAGCAGGCACAGGGACGCAGTGCTCCCAGCGAGACATGGACCTTCTGATTGGCGCAATGGGCGCAAGGGCAACAACGGGCGCAGGCCCGCAAACGATGGGAAGCGGCGGGGGCGGAGGGGTGGGCTCTGGCAGCCGCGAAGCTGCTGACTTGCTGGAGAGTCTGAGAGCGGCGGAGAGGACAGCCAGGGGAGGGGGTGGCGCAGCTGTAGAGACGCCTGCGGGGGGGAATGGCGCAGGAGGGGGCATGATGGTGGAGGCGGAGCAATTGGGGGAGGGTCAGGAGAGGTGGGGGGGTCAGGGACAGGTGGCGCTGGGTGTGAGTGAGATGCGCTGGGAAGTGCGAGGACAAGAATTGGGAAGAGAGGGGTCTCAGGCAGGAGGTGCTGCGAGGACGGCAGTCATAGGTGGAAGTGAGCATGCTAGTGGGCCGCAGGGGGCAGGAACAGGGATTGGGTTTCCTGCATATTACGCCCCAGTGGCCATGGCACAACAGGCCCAGCAGACTCGTAGAAGCGGCTCGTTTCAGGATACTGTATCAGCTGCGTGGTCAGAGTCTGCTGGTTCTGACTTGGATGCTGCAATGTGGGAGGGAGGGCAGATGGAAGGTGGAGGACAGGTGGGCAGAGATAGGGAGGGTAGCGTGGAGGTGGAAGGTGGTGTGGACACAGAACTAGAGAGGTTTCTTATGGGCATTGTGAGTGGCGCAGGGATGGCGGAAGATGATGGGAGAAGCAGCCTTGCAGGTGGAGATGCTTAAATGACTCCAGCTGGATGAAAAAGGTTTTAAGAATTATTATAGCCAGGGTTTGCTAACTGTTCCTTGATTGATTGACATCTAGGCCAACCTCTGGTCTGCCTAACTTCTCCAATATTACTGGGCTATGCAATTTCATAAACAGACAATAATTATACAAGAGAGCTTGTGTTATCAAACCGGCCTTGTTTGGTTTTCCTTTTTTCGGTTCGGGAAACGGGGCTGTCACACTGGACGACGTCCCTCCAGTCTTCACTTTCTGGCGAATCACAGGCAGGTCTTGGGATTTGGGCTTGTGCCAGGCCATCGGGAGGAACCTCACTGGTGGCTCTTCCCCAACTTCCGGGGCGATTGCGCGGACCTACTGGCGCGCAGGGGCAGGTGCGCGGAGGAGGGTGCGGGCAGAGTCTACTTCGCAAATATAGTTCATAAAAGTATACTCTCGAAGTTCGTGGGAGCTATCTGTGCCTCTGTTGGATTATCTCAATCTCGCCATGATTCACATAGAGAGAAGTCGGAGAGGCTGGAAAATGAAATCACACAGGATTGAAGCCACTGTCATTTGAATCATGAGGCCCATCCATCCACCTAGAAATCCAAACCACCTGACGGGGGAAGGGCGGGCCAAAGGCGGAAGCAGCACTCGGATCCTCTGCTTCGACCGGGATTCATTTTTTTTGGCGAAACTCCATTTTGCCCGTGGCGAGACGGATTTGACTCGGATTCGGCGCAAAAGGGTGTTGGACCTTCCAAAATCCAAACCACCTGATGGCGCAACGAAATGGGCGCAAGAGTGGTTACACTACCGGTTTGGATTATGGACGGTCGCACGAAAGCGACGTCGCAACCACTGTTCTACAGTATTTGTATATAAACTTTGTTGTTGACACTTTGGTGTAATTCTGACAAGCAGAATGTCAAAATGGCTAAGTCAAAATTCCATATGGTTTGGCTCATAACTCCATAATTTATTGGTCATTTGCACACAAATATGGATTTCCAGCATCTCCTTGATGTCCTCTACCAGCGGGCATGAGTTTGTTATTTTGTCAAATTTGTTACATTTTGTCACTTTTGGGTCAACTAAGGTTGCTCATAGCACATGTAAAGTCATTCTCTGGGCATCACACACATGTGTTATGTGGTGACCATATTTTTTGCATTGTTAGTGTTATGACACCTGTTCCAGCCCCCCTGAACATTTTCAGCTCTATGCAAACTGATTTGGTGGACTTTTTCTTGCAAGGAAGTTAGTGCTGAGTTGCCTGGTGTGATGTGTCAGGTGAAATCACCCACTTCTCCTTGGGCAAATGAGCCCATTTTGATAGGGCACTGTCATCACACCTAGTCCTGATCCCCATCCAGTTTTCACTTCATTTCATCAAGGTTTGCCATGCTTTTCATGTTATATTCTGCAGGCGGGTGCAGAATTCTGTGCAGAAATGCCTGGAACCATGTTTCTTGTGAAATCAACCACTTTGCCTTGGGCAAATGATCTGATTTTCATAGGGGACACTCATCACACATATCCCAGACTCCCCTCTGAATTTCACCTCATTTGCTCAAGGTTTGATATGGTTTTTAAGCCTTGTTGTCTGCAGAATTCTGTGCAGAATTGCCTGGAATCAGGTTGCAACTGAAATCACCCACTTCTCCTTGGGAAAATGAGCTGATTTTTATAGGGGACTCTCACCACACATATTCCAGACTCCCCTCTGAAATTCACCTCATTTGACCAAGGTTTGATATGGTTTTTAAGCCTTGTTGTGCAGCAGTCTGCAGAATTCTGTGCAGAATTGCCTGGAATCAGGTTGCAATTGAAATCACCCACATCTCCTTGGGAAAATGAGCTGATTTTTATAGGGGACTCTCATCACACATATTCAAGACTCCCCTCTGAAATTCATCGTATTTGCCCAAGGTTTGATATGGTTTTTAAGCCTTGTTGTGCAGCAGTCTGCAGAATTCTGTGCAGAATTGTCTGGAATCAGGTTGCAACTGAAATCACCCACTTATCCTTGAGCAAATAAGCTGATTTTTATAGGGGACTCTCATCACACATATTCCAGACTCCCCTCGGAAATTCATCTTATTTGCCCAAGGTTTGATATGGTTTTTAAGCCTTGTTGTGCAGCAGTCTGCAGAATTCTGTGCAGAATTGCCTGGAATCAGGTTGAAATTGAAATCACCCACTTCTCCTTGGGCAAATGAGCTGATTTTTATAGGGGACTCTCACCACACATATTCCAGACCCCCACCTGAAATTCACCTCATTTACCCAAGGTTTGATATGGTTTTTAAGCCTTGTTGTGCAGCAGTCTGCAGAATTCTGTGCAGAATTGCCTGGAATCAGGTTGCAATTGAAATCACCCACTTCTCCTTGGGAAAATGAGCTGATTTTTATAGGGGACTCTCACCACACATAGTCCAGACCCCCACCTGAAATTCACCTCATTTGCCCAAGGTTTGGTATGGTTTTTAAGCCTTGTTGTGCAGCAGTCTGCAGAATTCTGTGCAGAATTGCCTGGAATCAGGTTGCAACAGAAATCACCCACTTATCGTTGGGCAAATGATCTGATTTTCATAGGGGACTCTCATCACACATATTCCAGACTCCCCTATGAAATTCACCTCATTTCGTAGAGGTTTGATATGTTTTTCATGCTCTTCTCTGCAGGCGGGAGCAGATCACTTTGTTGAAATGTACAACATTTGTTTTGTATTTAAATGCCATTGTTATATGGGTGCTAATGAGCCCTTATTGATAGGGCACTCATCTCACACTTATATGATTATCCGTTTTAGAATTGGGTGTGCTAATCATGCAAAGTTCATGCTTGTGTTTGTTTTATGGGTTACAAAAACTAGCACTATACGTGCTACGCGAGTACCCCTATAGCGGTACTGTGGGATGTACACAGTCATTCGGTTTCTGACACGTGTGACAGGTCGCAGAGACTGCTCTATTTCCACGTTGCGGAGGGAACCATGCGGATGGGATAGTTATACGTGGCAGCCTGTCATGAACCTGTCACAGGACACCTTTCTTTTTTTTTAGGGGCTGCCCGTCACCATTTCGTACTAGGTCGAGGCAAAGCTGAGACCATGCAATGCACCGCAGAACATGCAATATGCTTACATGGCATATAAGGTTGGCAATCAACCAACCAGCAACTGAAGTAGAACATTTAGGAGAACAATCTGGCGACAAATAGGCCAATCACTGCAGAAGGATGCAAAGAGTAGTTCGCAGATGTTCGAAGGGAAATGGTGAGAAGCCTAATATTTTGATGTAGGGGGCAGAAAGGTCTTACTACGCCTGGCGTTTGTAGCAAAGCCTTTCCCACCTTCTGTGAGGACGAGAGCACAACCAATTCTACCAGCGAAGCAGAAGTTGTTATCAGGGTGGGTGCACCAAAGCTCAAGGTCATTCTCGCCATTCCAATCTGAGTCTTGGTTCCACAACTAGCCTCCTCACAAGCTTCCCTCTCATTCTAGTTTCGGCCTCAAATCCTGCAGGCGGACAGTGTATGGTAGTAACCGTATAGCTACCTGCCATCTTCTGGCTTACTTACGCGATGTCATCCCAGTTAATCACAGATGGCTGCGGATTGTCTGTACGACTAGGGCGGGAGTCTTATGAAATGTTAATCGCTCGTCAGGAAGAGTGGAACGAGGCGTTGTTACTTTTCGGCCTTGTGTATGTATCCAAGCGCGGTTTGTAACGCACGCCGACTTCATCGGCACGTTAAACCCTTGTATTTTTAGACACGTACCTGCTATCTTCTTACCTCTGCGACATGTCGGCTTGGATGCAGGGAGGTTGCCAAGGACAAGATCGGGGATCCTCGCGTTCGCAGGGACATAAAGATTCTGGCTCCTACCGAGCATCGGCGTTTGAGGTCTGCCGTCCCGCGTGTCCCCAGTTGTGGCAGCGAACATCGGTCGCTGTTGGACTACCAGATGGTTTTGATACCCATGATATCAGAGTGAGTTCCTTGACATGGATCCGCAACGTCTGTCGATGACACCAGCTTATCTTGCTAATCCAAACTTCGATGTACCGCAGAGTCCCTGTTGCTCACTCGACGGCGATCAGTCTCATGGTGCTGATGAACCCGCAAGATTTGTAAGCACATCCCCGCGGAGAGTACCGTACGCGTGTGCTACACTTCGACCCTAAATCTCCAATCCCAACCCATCGCCACAGCGACCATGCCAAGGAGGTGTTCGAGTAAGTGTCACTCCTTAATCAGATGTGCGGTTTGTATGGACGCATGTTATTGATTATTTGCGACCCCCTTGCCCTGCAGCTGGCTTATTCGACAACTAGATGTGGAATACAGCCGAGGTCGCAGGGTCTCTGGCAGCCACGCCGAAGCGGTGCAGAAAGATTTGAGGGATCGCCTAGAGGAACTGATTCTGGAGGAAGGCAGGGTAAGGAGCCTCTATTTTTATGATTTAAGCGTTGTATGATATTAAGCTTGTAAAATGTTACGGGAGTGTCTGACAACCACCTTTTCACGCACATGTTGCAGATCAACAAGGTTCAGGGACAGAGGCAAGTGGGTTCCGGGCTGCACGTTACCCATCTGTTCAGCAAGTTGCTGGACAAATGGGGGGATGTCATGGCGATTCAAACTGCAGAGCCGATGATCGCCTTAGGGAAGGGGAAAAACAGCGCGAAAGAAATTCGGAGTATGCTAGAGTCGACCTGCAGGGCCTTCTTCGACCTGCAAGGAGTCCAGCTCCGTCCCGCCCCGGATGCAGTCATGACGACCCATGAGGCTCGAGTGGTGGAGAGCGCACCGGAACGGTCCGGGAATACCATGGAGCCGGCGGCACAGAACAGATCCGAAGCGGTAGAGGGACAGAGAGACGTACCTGCCGCAAACCGGGACGCAAATCCAAGAGTGGGGGAAATTTCATATTCCCGCCGACCTGCACCAGGGGGTGCACTACTGAGTGGCCCGACATCAAGGTCAGCCCGTGCGGACGAGCGTGTTAGGTCTGGAGTTAGGCAGCTCAGGTTTGCTGATCGGGTTAGGAGGCCGCCGGAACGCGAAGCACGGACGGAGACCGACTTGGCAAGTGTAGCAGATGAAGGCGAGGAGGGTGTAGAAGATCCACAGCTGCCAAGTCAGGTCGAACATGCAGAGGAGCAGTGGAGGAAGGCGGCTGATGATAAGCGGATGGCCGAAGCAGAAGACAAGAGGAGACGGGCTGAAGAGAGGCAACGGCGCCGTGATGGCGACACCGATCCTATCGTCTCTTTCCCGGGAACAGGAGACATACGTGAAGCATGGGAGCGTGGGGCACGAGCCGCTGCAAGGGCACACGTGGGAGTGGCAGGAGAGGAGCTCGCCAGCAATGTGCGGCAGCATATCGAGGAGGATAGGGGATACGTGAAAGTTCGCTTGCCCAGCGTAAAGCGGAAGGCGGCTGAAGAGGCCCGGAGAGGGGACGTCGACGTGCCAGAGAATTCGGGAGAGGCGAAAAAGAAGGCGCAGAGCAACGCGGGTGCAAAGGCTCATACGATGGCGGAGGTAGAGGCGCACCAGAAAGCAGAGGATGCGGCCCATCGGTTCGTCGATGCAGAGGCGGCACTTACGGCAGAGGACGGGGCGCCAAAGGAAGCAGAGGCTGCGGCGCAGCAGAAGGTGGGTGCAGAGGCGGTCAAGAGTGCGGAGGCAGTCGCGCGTAAAGAAGCGGGTGCAGCAGCAGAGCTGACGTCGGAGGCAGTCGAGCTGCAGGTGGTGGAGGCAGTGGCGCAGAAGGAATCAGAGGCAACGGCGAGCCAGAAGGATGAGGCAGCGGTGCAGCAGAATGATGAGGCAGACGCACATAAGGAATCAGCGGCAGCAGCGCAGCAGAAGGATGAGGGTGCGGCACCCAGGATGGTTGAGGCAGAGGCGCAGAAGGAATCAGAGGCAGCGGCGCAGCAGAAGGAGGAGGGTGCGGCGCCGAAGATGGTTGAGGCAGAGGCGCAGAAGGAATCAGAGGCAGCGGCGCAGCAGAAGGAGGAGGGTGCGGCGCCGAAGATGGTTGAGGCAGAGGCGCACAAGGAATCAGAGGCAGCGGCGCAGCAGAAGGAGGAGGGTGCGGCGCCGAAGATGGTTGAGGCAGAGGCGCACAAGGAATCAGAGGCAGCGGCGAGCCAGAAGGATAAGGCAGCGGCGCTGCATATGGAGGAGGCAGACGCACATAAGGAAGGAGAGGCGCGGAATAAGGCAGAAGCAGCGGCGCGGCAGAAGGCGGAGGCAGAGGAGCAGAAACAGGCTGCGGAAGAGGCGCTACAACTGGCTCGGGCAGAAGCGCGGAAGAAGGCTGTTGTAGAGGCGCGGCAGAAGGCGGAGGGTGAGGCGCAGAAGATGGCAGAGGCCGAGGAGCAGAAGCAGGCTGAGGCAGACGCACGTAGGAAGCCAGATGGAGAGGAGGGTTCAGATGGGAATAAAATGATACAGACAGAGGGACGGGAGACGGCGGGTGCTGAGGGGCACATCATCGCAGAGGAAGAGGGGCAGCATGACGAGGAGGCAGCGTCGCAGGTATTCGCATACCGAGAGACGCAGAGCATGGCAGAGACAGAGCGTCAAAATACTATGGAGGAGGTTCGTGTGGTCCCGGAGGCTGGAGTGGGGCACTACGAGGGAGATGCGCTGGAAACAGAAGAGGAGCAGAATGAGGAGGATACGGTACATCTGGCAGTCCGGATATTTTTGGGAGGAAGTCCGACGCGGGGACCAAGAACCGGGGTAGAGGGGCCATGGAGGGTGGCAGACGATGGGGCGCCTAGGGATACAGTGGATCTCAACAGGCAGAGGCGGCCTACCCTTCACCAGAGAGCAGTGGAGAGGAATCTCGGCCAAGGCGGGGTGGCAGAAGCGTTTTGGCAGGTAGAGTGGGTCGAGGCAGAGACGGCAATACGGCGGATGCTGCAGCGCACGAGTACAGTCCTGGTCGAACAAGGTGACAGGTTCGTCGAGGCCGAAAGCTGGGACATAAGCCCGGCAGAGGTAACGCGTCGTCTGACGCTCTTAGCCCGAATGGTGACGCAGACGTTCTGCAACTTGGCGGCCCGCAACAGCAGCATCAGTCGCGACGTGGCCGATCTGACCGTCCATTACTGCCGCGACGCCCTGGCCAACCTGGAAGAAGTCCGCCATGGAAACGAGGAACGGCGGCGCCAAGCTGAAACGGCGGCCAGGTTTCGCGAGCAGGTGGACACGAGACTCTCCAACTTGCGGGAGAGTATCGTAAGGGTGAGTGATCAGGTTCGCCAGTCGGGAGGGGGGATGGCGGAGGGCACGTTAAAGGGGGTGGAAGGGAGGTTGAGAGAGGTTCTGAGAGAAGACTCTGAGCGGCAGAACAGGGATAGACTGCAGGACGAGGAGCGGAGGCAGAAGGCCACGAGGAAGGAAGCAGACGCCGCAGAGAGACGGAAGAAGGAACAACAGCAGGAGGAAGAGCGTCGGCAGAAGGAGATGAGAGAGGGAATGAAGGAGATGAAGGAGGCGATGATGAAGGAGATGAAGGCAGAAATGAAGGAGATGAAGGATGGGATGGTAAACCAGATTGTGGGGAGGTTGAGCGCGGTTTTGCGAGAAGAATCCGAGCGGCAGAAGAAGGCGAGGCAAGAGGACGCGGAGCGGCAACAACAGCAGGACGCGAAGAGGAAACAAGTGGCGGACGACGAGGAGAGACAGAAGAAGAAACAACTGGACGAGCAATGGCGGAAGGAGGAGGAGGAGAAGAGGAAGGATGTAGAGGCCACAGAGCGGCGGAGGAAGAAGAAACATCAGGAGGAAGAGCGACGGCAGAAGGAGGTGGAGGCGGGAATGAAGGAAGTGATGGAGGCTGTGAAGGAGATGAAGACGGGGATGAAGGGGTGGAAGGAGGGGATGCTAAGTGAGGTGGAAAAGCGGCTGTCATTAGTTCTGAGATTGGACGCAGAGCGGCGGCAAAAGGAGGAGCAGGGTAGGAAGGCAACGGAGGGAGATCGGCGACAGAAGGAGGATGAGCAGAGGAAGGAGGCTGAGGAGGACGATCGGGAGGAAAGGGAGAAACAACAGGAGAAGGAGCACCAGCAAAATGAGGAGGCGCAGAGGAAGGAGGCAGAGGAAGCAGAGCGGGTGGAGAGGGAAAAACAGCAGGAGATGGCGCGCCTGCAGAAGGAGGAGGCGCAGCGGAAAGATGCAGAGGAGGCCGAGAGGCAGGAGAGGGAGAAACAGCAGGAGATGGCGCGCCTGCAGAAGGAGGAGAGGCAGAGGAAGGAGGCAGAGGAGGTAGAGCGGCAGCAGAGGGCGAAACAGCAGGAATTGGACCGCCTGCAGAAGGAGGAGGCGCAGAAGAAGGAGGCAGAGGAGGCCGAGCGGCAGCAGCGGGCGAAACAGCAGGAGATGGAGCGCCTGCAGAAGGAGGAGGCGCAGAAGAAGGAGGCAGAGGAGGCCGAGCGGCGGCAGAGGGCGAAACAGCAGGAGATGGAGCGCATGCAGAAGGCGGAGCAGTGCCGAGCAGAGAAGACGGCCAGACTTGCATCCTACGCGGAACAGCAGCGGCAACTGGAGGCAAAGGCAAAGGCGATGGCTGAAGAGACGGAACGATTGGCAAGGGAGATGGAAGAGGAGGATTTGACCATGCAGGGGGAGGGGACCTGGAAGGGAGTCGAGGAGGAAATAGCTGAGGGCCTGGGGAGTTTGATGTTGATTGAGAGCGGGGAGGCGAATGTAGCAGAGGGCGTGGCTATTGTTCCCGGACAGAACGTAGAGGTGTCCAGGAGGTGGCCTAGACAGGAGGATAGGGAGCCGGAGGGTCATGCGGCTAAGAGACGGCGTGCAGCTGGTATACAGGAGTTGATACCGATAATCCCAGGGGAAAAGAAAGGGATGAAGATCGACAAGTGTGACAACAGGAAAAACGCCGTAGTGGACGACAAGGGTAAGACTTTGGGTGTCTGCCTGCCGTTCAGGGGAAGCGGGTTCTCTCAATGGGGCGAGGGAGCATTGTAGAAGTGGACGTCTGAGCAGACCGTCGGCGGCCGGAAGCGGAACCTCGGCTCTCACAAAACGGTGTGGGAGAGGGCATACACGGTCGCAGTCTGCTGGAAGTTCTACTTCCCGGATATTGACATGCAGGCATACGGCATGAATCCAAACCGTATTAACAAGTGGCGGGAAGACCTCGACTTCACAACGTGGCTTCCAACAGGGGTGTGGAGCGTCATCAACGAGCTCCACCTGGACAAACCGGACGGGTGAGTGTTTATGTGATGGACAGTTGCAACTTCTAAACACCCGCGAAGTTCGATGGTTCTGATCTTGCGACACTGGTGTCTTGTGCAGATTCTCACTCATTCAAACCAACACGGCTCTTCGGCAGCAGCAGGGGGATGGCTTTCAGGTAGCTGCCTGCGCTGGTGTCGGAATAACTGCGTGGCAGAAGATGGTGGGAGGCGTGGAGGGTGAAAACGGCTATTCGACGGAAGAACACGCAGTCGGACTTGCCGCCACATTGTTTGTAATGTGGGCCGCATCCACGAATGTGGACCAGACCCAGTGGGAGACGGGCGCAACATCAGCTGCACGTGGAACTTCTACGGCCATAGCATCTTCTGCTGCCAGATCGTCCACTGCTGCCACCGCCTCGTCGGCTGCCTCGTCATCTTCTGCGGCCGATGTGTCCTCTGCCGTCCTCGATGCCCTTGCGACGCTTGCAGCCTCGGTTGCTTGCGTTGCGGTTGAGGCAATGAGGTCGGTCAAGGATCAGGAGCATGACAAGGAAGCGTGGATTCTGCCCCTGTCGGATGCGCTGCTGAAAGCGCTTCCGGCAGAGTCGCGAGCGGCCGGGGATACGAAGCGGATGACAAGGGTGGTGGCAAAGGTGGTGACCTCTTGGTGCCTATGCAGCATGGCATCAAGAGGCCTTCGCCAGCACCAGGGCGTCTGCCTCGGAGTCCTGCAGAAGAAGTTGGGCGGCCGGGATACCACAACAGGGGCGGATAAGGAGAAGAAAACCAAGAAATCGTCCGCGAAGGGGAACGCGACGAAGGATGCGTCGACGGAGGAGAACACCGGCACTGGCGGCCAGGAGTGATAGAGGCAGACGGGTTCTTTGGAGGTCTTGTTAGTACCGCAGTAGAAATAGATTTTCCTTTCCGTTTCTTTTTTAACCGTGTATAAATATAGGTGTTGTTGTATACAATACAATGAGAGATGTATTTTTGCTATGCAAACCTTCACTACACTCGCGAAATTTGTAGGGCGCGTATGGAGCTAGCAATGCAGCCGATAGAACTCGCCATCAAAGGGAGGGCCAGCCGAATAAAATAATTGATGACAGGACGGCCTTCTACGACACTTAATCTACGTTTAATACTCGGCTTCTACGAGGAGGTAGAAGTATGGGGCTAAACAATCGCATAACATCTTGTCTTAGGGAGCACCTTGTTAAGAATCGTATACGGTATTCCTATGCACAGACCTTTCTGCTATGGAGATTGAATTCCTCGACGCCAAATTCTGGAGGCAAATCGGAAACGACACTATACCGCAGAAATCCCACGTATGGATAATATCTACCGTCATGGATAGGATCTTCGTTGCTACTAGTAGAATATGACACTCCTTTGCCCAGAAACATATGCTGAGACTGAATACATCCACGCAAAAGTCTACCGAGTGGCCTAAGAACACACATCTACAATCGTGAGAGTGAATTCATCGACGTCGCTCTATAGAATAACATCGTATACGACATGAGTCCGCAGAATTTCGCCCGGTGTATACCATCGATGTGTGCTTCAATGCATAGACCAGAAAAACATTCTACGAAAAACAGCGCGTCCAGGGAAGAAGGTGGCATACAAGCCCCAAATCGGGCTTCTACAGAGACAGACAAGTGCCTGTAGTGCATATTCAGTACAACCGGAATAAAGTACCCAAATAACTAAACCGCCCCACCCTAAAGGTACATGCCCCCTCATTTCTGCTCCTAGCGTTTCGACGCTTCGCCCTTCGCCTTTTCCCGTTCCGCCTTCTTCGCCGCAGCGGTTCGTTGTTTCTCCTCTTCCGCCTTCTCCTGCGCCATGTGTTCCTTGTGGATCTCCTCCCACTCATCATCCCCAAACAGCGAAGTTGCCCACTCCTGGTCGCGAAGGCCCTTCTTGACTAACAGCCAGCCCACTCTGCGTTGCGCCAAGTCGTTGACGGTCCTCTTTTCCGTCGACGAACCGGTCTTCTGTTTCTTGATGGGCGGAGTCTCATGCAGCACCGCCAGGCCGTTGGTGAATTCCGTGAAGTTGCACACGAGTAAAACCTCGTCCAGCAGCTTAATGGCCGTTGCGGTCGCCGCCTCGGAGCTGCCTTTTCTTAGCGTCTCCACGGAAACCATGACACGATGCACGCGACGCATCTTTCGCTCGCATGCACCCACAGCCATCCCGGGCGTACCTTTGTCAACGAACCGGGAATATGCGGTGATGAAGCTGGAATTCTTGTTCTTCTTCTTATACCGGTCGAACTCTGCAAAGACTTCGCGCAGTGACCTGCCGCCCATGATGAGGCTTGGCTGCACCCACACTTTCTAGGCAGCAGCAACAGTGGTGGCTTCGCGCCAAGACACAACGACCACGACGAAGAATTCTTCCACGGCAACTGGTGCTTTGGATGCGTCCGTTGCCTGGTTTGCTCCTGTTCCCGCGCTCTTCGACGATCCGTCGATCTCTGCAGAGGTGTTTGCCGCGTCATCCCTGGCCGCAACAGACCTCTTGTATGCTTCGAACTCTGCAATGACCCGAGCCTTGTCCTCTCGCTCAGCGGCGAGTTTCTCCCTCAGTTCAGCGTTCTCCATCGCCAACTGCATTTTGTTGGTGCAACCCTACGGTTTGCACTCGGCTTGTTGTCCGTGTGCGTGAATGTGTGTGTGTATGGAATGGTATGAGGGCATGGGATAATATATATTTCATGCTTATAATTGTGTGTGAATGTTGAGTCATGATGTCGAGTGTGTGTGTCGAGTCAATAGCGAGTTATCGCTAGACGCGTGTTACGCGGTCGTTTGTGTCTCGCGCGCGGTTTCTATTTTGTCGTGCGCGGTTTCTATTTTGTCCTGTGTCGAACGTTCGGCGTGTCGCAGGTGTGTGCAGCAGACCCATCAAGAACTCAAGGATGAGTTTGTGATGAAGAGCCCGAGCCTTGGTGTCAAGCCTCAAGTGATTTCGAAGCTTGCCAAAAGGGTACACCTCAAGATATTGAAGATAGTTACATTACTTTGTGTAGTGTAACATTTCACTTGGTGTAGGCCCTAGTGAAGGGTAGTTTCGAGACCCTTCGTGGTTGGGGACAGTGTGGCACTGTTCCACATCACTGTACCTCGGCTCTTGGGGTTTGTAGGAGCTGGGAGTCATTCCCAACTCGTAACTCTTCCTATCTTGTGTTCTAAGACTATAGTGGCTGCCATAGTACCGTTCGTTCAAACTGACGCTGTGTCGTCAATTCTTTATCAAATCGTGCAATCTAAATTGCTAATTGTAGACGACATGAAGACGCTCCAGATCCAATTTGAATCAAGTCATTTGCAGCTGTGAGCAGAACGCTATCAACGTTTGAAGCCGCTGTGCAGAAATCCGTCTGTGCTCTCTATCTTTCGTTTTAGGCACATTCAAGCCTATTGTGACTATAACAAGTGGTATCAGAGCCCCTTGGAGCAGTTTCGACAATGTCTGGACCTGAGGAAAGGGGTGGCAGAGGTGCTGGTGGCAGTGGAGAAGCTCAAGCTCAAGGCCAACCCCGTGATTCAGCCATGGCGCCCATGCAACCAAGTCTTGGCCCACCTAGGGATGAGCCTAGGGTGTTTGGGCTTGACAAGTTCAACGGTGACAACTTTGCTGAATGGTCCTTCAAGATGGAGAACATCTTTGACCACTATGACCTGCTGGAGGTGATGGAAGGAACGGAGAAGCGCCCCGAGAACGACCCGGAGAAGAGCCCGTGGGTGCGGAAGAGCGCACAAGGCTATCTCTTACTTGGGCAAGCGTTGGGGAGCAGTCAGATCCGTCACATCAAGCCATTCCAGCGTGAACCAGAGAAAGGACCAAAGGCATGGGCTGCTCTCAAGGGTGTACATGCTCCTGCAACAGCGGCGGTAGCGGTGGTGTTGGAACGGCAAATGGCGGCACTACGAATTGAAGAAGACGAAGCGGTTGAAGAAGGGGTGCAGAAATTCTTCGACTTGTTGACGCGGCTTGAGGGAGCTGATTTGAACTACAGTGAGCTCCAAAAGAAGACCAAGTTGCTGGCCTTACTCCCAGAGTCATGGTCCTCGCTCATCATCAACCTTAATCGCGACTTGCCCCGCCTCTCGCTTGAAGACGTGAAGCGAGCTATCCTTCAAGAGGATTTCCGCCGCCGTGAGTTGGCGAGTGCGGATGGCGCTGGGGCAGCGAGCATCGGCCGTGGATATGGTCGAGGAAGAGGCAGAGGACGAGGGGGAGGAAGGTTTGGTGGCAGCAACTTCGGCGGAGGCCGCAGGAGTGGCGGTTACGGCAGCGACGACAAGAGCTACGGACGCGGTCGCGGCCGATTCGACGGCGAGTGTCACTATTGCCACAAGAGCGGACACATGTGGCGCGACTGCTACAAACTCCCTGATGGTTGGACCCCTGCTCAAGGCCAAGAGGGTAGAGGAGCAGGAGGAGGGAGAGGACGAGGCCGTGGAGGCCGTGGCGGTCGCGGTGGCGGAGCTGCAAACATGAAGAGCGGAGACAACGACAAGGACCCGAGCGACGATCGATACCCGGGTCTATTCTACTTCGTGTCGACGCAAGTACCGGCTGGTCCAGAGAAGGATGAAGGCTTTGAGGAGTCAGCAGCTGTGGGGAAGGTGACCCTACACCCCCTGGACTATTGGGTGATTGATAGTGGCGCTACCTATAGCATGACACCTCGCCCGGACTTGCTCACCGAACTCGAGCCGTCACCGGTGAAGCATGTCACATCGGCTTTGGGGCAGCGAGCAGAGGTGAAAGGCATGGGCAAGGCCATGTTCAAGGGTGCTGATGGGAAGATGGTGGGCCTCAAGAACGTGCTTTGGGTGCCCAGCCTTGCTGCAAACCTGATTTCCGTGCGGCGGTTGGCAAAGGCCGGCATGGACACGAACTCGAAGGGAGCCAAGACCTACACCGCAAGGCTTGGCGATCGAATTCTTTGGGACCTTCATGAGGACAGGGATGTCTACAACGAGATGTGGAAGATCCCAGTGGTCCCTATGCCTAAGGAGAGGCAAGTGGCAGCAAGCATCAGCACCAAGGATGGAGCGGTCGGTAGCGACGATGGCGCGAACGGTCGCGCTAAGGAGAATGAGCTCAAGAAGAGCAAACCTGGAGGGACCAGCAAGTTCAGTGAACCTAAGGAGAGTGGTGCAGCAACCAAGGAGCAGCAAAAGGGTGAGGAGAACCCAGAGGCAGCAGCGGAGGAGGACTACGGAGAGAGTATGTGGGGCGCTATTGCGAGCGCGGCATTCTCCAATCCAACTTCGGCTACGGGGGAGTGTGATTGGCTCACCTTGCATCGGCGCATGGGGCATGTGGCCCTGCCCATCTTGCAGCAGCTAGTGAAGAATGAGATGGTTGCTGGCATACGTGTGAAGGGGGAGCCCGATGAGGTGCTTGGCTGCCCGACGTGCATTCAAGCCAAGTTCACCCGGTTTCCGTTCCCTAGTTCGGAGGCAACGGCAAAGGCACCGCTTGATGAGGTGGTGATGGACGTGGTGGGCCCCCTGAAGCTTGGAGCTGCTGGAGCTGAGTATTTTCTCACCATTGTCGACGTCTACACCCGCATGACTTGGGTGTACGTGCTGGCCAAGAAGAGCGACGTGGCTGAAACGTTGAAGACGGATTGGTTCCCGATGGTGGAGCGGCAACAAGACCGTCTAGTCAAGTCAATCCGCACCGATCGAGGGGGAGAGTTCCTGAGCAAGGAGTTTGGGTTGTGGCTGAAGAAGAATGGTATTCTGCACTCCCTCACCATGCCATACTCCCCTGCAATGAACGGCATCGCCGAGCGAGCGAACCGCACAATCACGGAGGCGGCACGCGG